CAAGTATAATAGGGTAAGCCCTTCGTCTGACAAACGGGCTAAACTCACAGAGGTCACGCCTGGCCTGGGCAATCATTCCAAGAAAAACTCCTGGTCCTCCTCTGAGGGAGGAAGCGCAGAGAGTGTAATGACCTGTGCTCTGAACGGAGTGGAGAGCAGTTTAGGTACATTACCATGCCTTGGCTTCAGGACAACTTTGGAGTTGCTGGGCCCAAACTCAATGCAGGTAGGGCTCACAGAGAGTGCCTGCAAGTCTTCCATTCGCTTGACCGATGTTAAAGCCAGTAGCAGAGCATTTTTCAGCGACAGGAGCCGAAGGTCGGTTGACTGTAGTGACTCAAAGGGAGGGCTCTTAAGAGCTCCCATGTAGGGACGGTAAAGGGGCAAGGCGGGTTCAGCCTCCTGGACTCTTTCAAAATGCGGACAACTAAGTTGTTCCTGCCCATCGATTGGCCAGCTCTAGGAGCATGAGAAGCTGCTATAGCCACTACATAGACCTAGAGAGTGGCAAAGTTGAATCTGAATCCCAGGCATTCAAAGGGGCTGAGGGGGAGGGATCTGTGAGATAGTAGCTCGGCCTCCGACCGAGCTGGTCATCGAGGTAATTTAGAATGAGAATTCCCATCTGTTTCAGAGGTGAAAGAGCCGCATCCATGCACTCATGCATCCATCCATCCGTGTGAGGAGCCAGGGACAGTCCAAAGGAAAGGACAGTGTATTGATATGCCACTCCCTTGAAGGCGAATCTCAAGAATCGCCTGTGATGGGAGGCTATCTGCATGTGAAAGTAGGCGTCTTTCAGGTCCAGAGAAAAGAACCAGTCTCCTGGGCATACTTGCGAGAGGATCTGTTTCAATGTAGTCATGCTGAATGCCCATTTCATGAGGGTGCGGTTCAGGTGCCTGAGATCGAGGATGGGCCGTAGGCTGCCATCCTTTTTGGGGAAGACGAAGTAACAGCTGTAAAAGACTGACTCGCTCTGGGCTGGAGGGACTGTCTCCACAGCTCCTTTTGCCTGTAAATTCATCACCTCGGAGCACAGGACGTGTACGGGAACCACGCTGCTGAGTCGCTGGATCTTCGAACAAATTTAAGTGAGTAACCTCGTTTTATTATCCCCAAGACCCAGTCTGGCACTCCAGGGATGGCCTGCCAGGCCTCGGCCCACGTGACAAGGGGTTGGATTGATTTGAGTAGTAAGTCCCTGTGAGGGGACACTTGTGATAAGTGGAACAGGAAGTCTGCTCTCTTTTTGAGTATGTTTGTATTTTTTTTGCCCGCTATCACAGCGGATAGGTGTGTGGGTGCTTAAACGGGCCCAGCATTAACAACAAACACATTGATCTCGGCACCTGAAACTGAACGGGGTGCTTGGAGGAATACTCGAGGCTGCTTGAGGGGTGGTCCGGCTGCAGCGAGACTTTGTCCCTTCCTTTTCCTGTCCTTTAGATCAGGATGATGCCTGAGGCACAGGATCCAGTGCTATCTTGGGCCAGGGGCCCTGACGCTTAGGAAACGGGTAGCTTTTCGCCGAGCGGGAGCGCTGTCGAGGCTCAGGCTTGGGTGCAGGATGCACTGTAGGAGGTGCAGGCTTCGCAGGCTGCTGAGTCGGCACAGACTTGGGGCAACTAGAAGCAGCAGCAGAGCTAGAGCACTTTGGCAGGAAGTGCCGCATTGCCTGGGGCGACTTCTGTGCAGCAGTGAAGTGTTCAGCAAAGCTTTCGACTGCAGGTCCAAACAGGCCAGTAGGAGAGACCGAGGAGTCGAGCAAGGGGACTTTACCCACGTCCTTAATCTCTGTCAAGATCAACCATAAGTGGCGCTCAAGCACCACCAAGCTGGACATTGACCTGCCAATCGCCTGAGCCGTGGTCTTTGTGGCGAGTAGGGCCAGGTCGGTCGCGCTGCGCAGTTCCTTGAAAGCTGTGGGATCTGGTCCAGACTCGTCCATGCGGCAGAGGAGTTTGGCCTGAAAGACCTGGAGGACCGCCACTGAATGAGGTGCAGAGGCCTCCAGGCCGGCCGAGGAGTAGACTCTTCCAGCAAGGGCAGAAGTTGTTCTGCACGGCTTGGAAGGGTGAGCAGCTTTCACTTTCCACCCGATGGCAGTGAGCGGGCAGAGGTGCAAGCAGGCTGAGTAGGGGGCGTGCCACGATCTGGTGAGCTCATCGTGGACCTTCGGGAAAAATGGAGAGGCTCGCTGACGAGGGGCTTGACAGCGCCCTGTCAGGAACCATTCGTCCAGGCAGCTGTGAGTGGGCTCTACTGGGGAAGACCACTCCAATCCCAGCTCCTTGACCGCTTTCGAGAGGATGCGGAAAAGTTCGGTGTCCGTCCTGGGCTTGGCGTCGCTAGGCTGGGATGACGGCAAGGGGACGGGGTCATTAATTAGCCCTCTTCGTCCGAGGCTGCTAATGACATGCTGTCATCGAGCAGCTCGTCGTCACTCCCATCGAACGAGACTAGATCACTCACGCTGGCGGAGGGATGCTGGTCTAACTGAGTGAAGAGGACGGGGGAAGCTTCTCTGTGCAGGGAGTGCGAGGCACGCGGGACTTGAGCCCTGGGAGGAAGAAACCGGGAGGGCGCGAGGGGCAGAGTCGCTCTCTGAAAAGAAAGCTATCTGCGAGCGCAGAGTGGCGGGACTCATGTTCTCATAGTGAGAACAATTCGTCTTCTTGCTCTTTAATGCTCGCCGGATGGCGGCAGGGAAAAAACCATGACCGCTGCTGCTGCGACGCTAAAGGCGGCAGGAAGAAGCAGTGAATCAGCCGAGCAGAGAGGTCGCTGGCTGGCTTGTTCCGCTGCAAGTCATGTCCACAGCGAGAAGGCTTCGAGTCTCGTAGATCAGCAAAGACCGTCGTCGTCGCTGAAGGAGAAGAAATCTGAGGATCCTATGCCAGAATGCTCGCTTATATAGCCAGATGGCTCTGGCGGGCTTTATGGCCATAGGTTCGTGCAGCTCCGCTGCCTCGCCATTGGTTCGTTTTTTATTCACTGCACAAACCAATGGCTGTGCAGTTACACTGCATTATTAAAAAAAGTTTTTTTTTCCCCATAGCGTCTAGTGACGCAGTACGAGTGAAGTATCGAAAGGGAATATGTATGCCTTATGGATTGTCATCTTGAGAGGCTGTTGGACTCTTGAAATCCAAATAAATTACAGACTTTTTTCCCCTACCTCTTTACATTTTTGCACTTTGAGACACTTATGGACTGTTTTTTTTTCATAAACTGTTGCTTCGATATAGAAAGTGAACTATTAAGTTCAGGACAATCCATCGACTGTTAAAATACTGAAATGGTTACAAGAGCTCTGACACTACAAGATTTGTGTGAAACACAAAAGGAACTGAAAGACTCGTGTTAAAAAAAAAGATAATGTCGAGACGACATTTGTTTTTGTGGGGGAGTGTGTGACAGATTGAAATATATGTTTGTATAATTATATTGAAAAATTAATAAATCTGTAAAACATTGAAGGTATTCTATTTTCAGGCTATTTTGAATCCGCTTAAAAAGTTTAATCAAATGCAAATATGTTAATTAATAGTGTTGATTAATCTGTGATCAATTAGTTTAGTCCAATAAGTTGTGCAATCTATTAGTGGTGCCTTGTCGAACACTAAGGGGAGAACTCGTGGTGTTTCTCCATCATGCATAAAGTTCACATTGGAGAAGCATCGTGGAGTATGACTGATTAATTATCTCCCCTTTTTCAGGGGTGTAACATTTACACTAAAAACAAACATTGGCTCTTCCTAGATTCTAACTCACCAGCGAGAAGCTATCCTTAAAATGAATTATAGCAATAGTAGTACAGTACAGTAACAAGGAAGAATTATGATAATAATATACAGTAAATATTAAAAACATAAGTGAAAAATAATATAAAGGGTTGTTATTCCTTTTACATTCACTCTCAGTCTCTCTGACAAATAAAATGACTTTAGTGTTACCTATAAAACGAGCTGCATTTCTATATTTTCTGCCACTAAAATTTAGTAAAGTATACAGCATGTTAAGTAAATAATGTGTAGCTCTCACCTGAAAGTTTTTCAGGGAATGTCTCGTCTTCTGAGAGCAGCTGTATATACAGTATAAGCCAGGAAAATAACTTTCACTTTCATCTATACTTGAAAAGACATGTATTTGGCATTTAGGTATGAAGACCAGTGCTTTTATCAATGGAAGAATATGTTATTAGATCAGGGAATAATAATACAAGTCTCCAACAACATGAACAACTGCATTTGCTCTACTTCAGAAGCCAAACAAAAACATGCAGTCAAAAGAAATCTATAACACTGTCACTCCTTGTCAGGAACTACAGTTCTCAGAATCCACACACACACACACACACACACACAAGGACACAGACACTGTGCACTTGCAAGAGATAAGATTCAAGTTATCATTCAGTTTATTCCATCCACAATTTTTCATCCAAGTTAATGCTCACCTGCCTAATCCTGCCATTGGTTCAATAAACTTGACGTTGCTGCAGTATTCCTATTCCGTCTTGTTCCTGTCATTGAGCTAATATCTGACAAAAACAAACATTAATGTTTCCATTTAGTTACAAATTAACAGAAAGTGCCATTAACATCGTCCCCATGACACAGGGGGACTGTTTATGACACTTTTTAAAATTTATTTTAACTTACTAGATGTCACTTAATTAGTTTGCATAATAAAGTTGTATTTTAATAATAATAAAAATATATTTTTTTATGTACTAACCGTTTGTATAAATAAATAAAACCAAGAAGGCACAGGACTTGCTGTTTTGTGAATATGCTACTTTGCTCATAAATTAAACTCATGATGTTTTGAAAAACCACTTTATTTCTCAGTAGTAGGCACAATTTTATTTCCATAGAATAGATTATGGGATTCAGAAAGTGGTGTGTAATCAACTCTGTCTAGAACTATAGTGAATCTGAAACTAAAATCTGAAGCTATAGTTCCTGTACCAGAGCGCCCCAGTGCACCTATTCAGTGACGTTTCAAGGTGAATACCAGAGGCTCTATTGTGTGAACCAGGGTTTTTTGCAGCTCTGTATACATCTTGCGGTTGAACCTGTCGGTGCAGCGCGTTTGCCAGCTGTTTGTTTTGCAATAGCTTATGTGAAAAGTGACAGATAATTGCGAGTGGCAGACTTTGACAAGGAAATCGGATCTCAGGTGAGTCCGGGCATCGATTTACCGTGCGATGTTTACAAACATATTTATAAAATAATTTTATTAATAATAATAGCTAAGTTTTTTAACGTGGTATAAATGACTGACCTTTGAAGAAGTTAAAAGTGACTGACCTTCTAGCCTTCCCAGCTACCTTTAATCCAGGTTGCCGTGGATGTGCTAATAACAGAAATTTAATCTTCAGAGTGGTATAAAAACTGATGTTACATTGCTGTAATGTGTCATTGTAACGAATTTCTTTGAGATGTTGTCCGTGACACACTGAAGGCGTAGTGTAATCTAGTTCAGAGAGAAAACTCTGCCTGTAGTGTTTCGCATTTAAGCCCTTTACAAAGATTTATCATGGTGTAATTTCTTCAAATTACCATAGTTAGCCACTTCTGGTGTTGCTTTCGGTGTTATAAAGGAGATATTTCCATAACTAAGAGACTTCTTCCAACCTGTCATCTTTGGTGAAATAAACCGAGGTTATAATAATTTAAAGTGGGACAGCATATCGAATTTAGACGTTTATGATTAACTTATACAGCAATACACCTGTTTAAATGGCAGTGGAGTGTAGAGTGTATTAACAAATGTGTAAGTATTCACCATATGTGAGGTTAATCTATTAAGTTTGGAACCCGTATTGTGAAGTGACTTTACTTTAAATGTTAAATTGAACACTTTAAATTGAAACAGTTATTTTCTCAGACAGAATGAGAAAGTTAGAATTGTTATCACTCTCGTTTGGGATTGAAGAAGTTGAGCTTCTTGCACAGTCTGAAGGAGATCTCACATTAATAATTTACATGCAGGTATCATGGTATTTATGGTATGTGAGGTGTGTGTAGCCTAATTGTTTAGAGATCTGTAGTAGAACCGCACTACACATGACTCATTAACTTTTTTTGGCTGTTCAGCGTGTTAATATGAGTTCACGTCTTTTTGTTGTTATGACGATGTATGCCGTCTACACCCCTCTGAAAAAAAGACCATGTTGTCAGTAAACAAAAAACTTCCGACATCATGATGAACCTGCTGATAGATTCAACAGTTTCATTCTCACACTCGCGTCAAAACTTCCACTGTGTTTTTAGTGCAATAATTCAAGATTTCTTAAAGTTCTTGATATATTTTCTGCAGGCTTTATCTGACTGATGCATGGTCAAATGGCAGAAACTACAAAAGAAGAAGTAGATAGTGGAAATGAGGTTAATGACCCATCAGAATGGGTTGAGGATGCAACCAAGGGTTCGAAAAATGGTGAAAGACAGATGGAAAGTCCAGTCAAAGAGAAGAGTCTTGGATTTAGGATGTCGTTCAGAGAAAGTTTGAAAGCGGTCAGTAAAAAGAGCCCTATTGTATTTAAAAACAAAAGGTCAAAGAACACAGATGACCAAAGCTCAAATTCTCCATTACGACCACCGCACTCTCCAAGTAAGTGTATAACCACTAGACATGGTGAAATGTGTTGCTTTTTGTGACAATGGCTTCTCAAGTTCAGTAGTTTAAAAGCTAAAGCAGACGTTACGGTACTTATAAAGTGCTTGAGTGTAAACAGTGCTGGTTTAACCCTAATTATAAACAACCAGGTGAACTGTTAGCCAAGAAACAGCTGCGTTTTGTTATATTTTATAAGACTTTTAATTAGCTGAAGCTCCTTGCATGTTTCTCTCTTCAGGTTTGAGCAGAGGATCTCCCTCACAATCTTCATTTCAGAGTCCAAAGGCAGAAAAGGCTTCTCTTGCCAGAACTATGTCAGGTGACTGGTCTTTGCATGTCACTAGATTCACCTCTAGACAAGTGAAAAACAATGTGGGCTATCATGACAGGAAGTGTTGATAGTAAATGTTGCGAACAATACAGAAAGGTTTGTTGCTGAAATGTTTTGTACTTTTTGGGAGTTTAAGCTTTAGTTCATAATTCATACCTGCATTTTGATTGAACTTTTTGCGTATTTTTCACATATGTAAAAACAAAACACAACAACACACCTTACCATGCTTATTTCTAAAATTAATAGAACAGTTACATGAACAAAGAATGTGTCCTCTTGACCTTCATATCATGTTTATTATATCATTGGGGAATAAGGTATAAAGAAATGTATATGAGGGTACACAAATCCACTGCATTAGTGTACATTAAGATGTTAGATTATTCAGTTAAATATTCTCTTTAAACTATAAATGTTTATTCACTAAAAGGGTCAAACGTAGGGTAAATAGCTCACTGTATAAGTTACTGGTTAAGTAAAAAGAGCTTTCATATTACATGGTCATGTTGATTTTTTTTTAACTACCATTTGCTCAGTTGAATGTTATACATAATACATAAATCATCTCCAGTAACCGTTTGCGTTATTCTCAGATTCTGCAGTTGAAATAACAGGTTCATTGGCAAGGAGAGGGGCATCGATCCGGCAGAGTTTGGGTCTGGGTACTAAAAAACACAAACAAGAACCACTTGAACCTGTCACAGAGGCCATGACTCCATCTGAAGAGCAGACAGAGGTCATAGATACAGTGTTGGAGCTCAGAGATACATATACTCTGCCAGAGATACCACCTGTGCCTTTGTCAGGTGAGTGTGTGAGTGCATGTCCCTTTGCAGTTGACAAAGGATTTATAAACATCAATGGTTTCAGATAAAAATTTAAATGAATGTTTTAGATATTTGGACTGGTTAATATTTTTGTTACACCAATACTTTTGGGTCATTTGCGGTAGGGTTGTGACAGTGAGGAAATTGTCCCACTGGCTAATCGACGTGTGACAATACCGGTAATACCGGTATCACCGGTATCACCGTGGGTGGATGGGGGGGGGGTAGTTTTCCCTCTTTTCCTTGCTTTTCTTCTGTTTTTTAATAGCTTGTAAAAGCTTCTACAATTTTACTTTCACTTTCAAATTAGCATCTATTTGGTGTCAAGCAGTTGTTTCTTTTCCTCACTTTACTTCACTTTTAAACACTTCGCTTAACGTGGTGCACATTTTACTTTCACTTTTAAATTAGCGGCAATTCAATTGCTTGAATTCAATTCAACCAACAAAATACAACGTAGAACATGGAACTTTTATTAACAAAATGTATAAAACACCATGCTTATATGCATAATATAAAATAACAAATAACTTACACAAAGTTTAGGTAGCAAACTGAAGATCAGTAAACACTGTGAAACCAAATAAATAAGAAACGTACGTTATTAGCAAAAACTAATAAGAAAGCTTGGAGACACGGCATACCTGATGTAAAAAAAAATACACAGTTTAAATAAATAAAAATCAGCAAACACTGTGTAACCAAATAAATAAGTAATGAATGTTTAAAAAAACTTCCAATATCACCTTAGATAAATGGCAGAAGTCAACAGGCTTTTCAAAATCCAAAATATTTTTAAAACAGGCGCTTTTGCATGTCGTTTTGAAATTCTTCTGCCATCGTCTTGTCTGTCTCACCTCACTCTTCTTGTCAGCTTCTCCTCATGCGACTGTCGGCACGCTGCATTGAGCAGCCCATTCAATTTAATTGTAGCATATTGTCTGTTTTCTAACTGAACTAAATGATTTTTATTACTTTAAAAAATCTAAACGACGGTGGGGGCGGTGCCGCGGTGGGCAAGTGACATAACCGCACACCGGTAAAACCGTCAACACCGTCTATCGCAGCAACCCTAATTTGCAGTACTCAATTTATATTTACTTTCCTAAATATCACCTTTAAAAAGTTTGCTCTTAGCAAGGGTCTTTACACAGTATGGGGCCCACCTTTACCATTTTGTCTGGGTTCCTGTGAATTCAAGCAGTGAATCTTCTCTGAATTGAAATGAGGTCATAAAAAGGCATGCAAAAATTTACTTTATAAAAATGCGGTTAAAAATGGGTTTATATGGTGTATAACCACATGTCATGCTGAACAACAATCCACATATACACTACCGTTCACAACCGACACAACTCATGTAGTCATCTGTATTATAATATTTTGCTTTTTGTTCTCCTTTTTTCTGTTATTTTCTGCAGTAATGGAGATTAACATACTGATAGATATGGAAGTTTTAGAGAAGGCCTACGTGAATCTACTGTCACTATGCCTGGAGTTTCAGAAGGAGCATCAAGCTCTGGATCAAGAAGACTATCCCATCGAACTAGTCAATAAAGAGAAAGATCTCAGTCTGCTCTATGGCACATTAAGGAACAAAATGTTTGTCATTGTACGCAACTCCAGTGCTCTTCCCCCACGCAATAAAGAGCAGCTGGTGTATGTAGCACACATTATCCTGGAGGAAGAGAAGAGACAGGGAGAGCCAGGAGCGATGCAGGGATTGAGGGAAGCATGGAGGGATGCGGTACTAAACGGGGTTCAAGATACACTGAAGAAAGTTCATCTGGACAGCCTTGAGCAGAACGCTTCCTGCCTGGCAGTGCATCTGGGGCTTCTGGGTAAAGCTGTGGTGGAGGATTTGGAGAGAGTGAAGACTGAGCTTCAGAGCTCATATCCAGAAGATTTTAATGTGTTTGAAACCTATGTGTTCTGCTATCACGAGGCTGTCGGAGAGCATCTAAAGAGACTTCTGGAAAAGGTGACAGAGCTGAAAGATTACTATGCTCTTCTAGAGTTCATTATTCATCGCTACCCCAGGTGAGGTTTCCTCAGTTTAGATTTAGTTTTTCTAAATACAGAAGGTCAGTATAACTTAAAACCCTTTTTGATATTGAAGCAAGCATGCTGATTCGAACCTGTATGAACTATATTTTTGAGACACACAAAAGGTGAATTTTTGAAGAATATCCTGGCTGTTTGTTCCATATTATAAAAAGTGAATGTCAAGTTTGGAAATGATTTTAAAAAAATACCATCAAATACATATTTCATTATTTAATTTACAGTACCATTCAAAAGTTTGGGATTGGTAAGACTGAATTTTTTTTATGTTTCTTATGCTCACCAAGGCTCCATTTCTGGATCAAAATGCAGTAATATTGTGAAATTACAATTTAAAATAGGCCTAACTGTTTTCAATGTTAAAGGGGTTATATAATGAGATTTCAAGTTTTCCTTTCTCTTTGGAGTGTTACAGGCTGATTGTGTATAGATAAGATCCCTGAAGTTGCAAAGACTAAAGTCTCAAAACCAAAGAGATATTCTTTATCAAAGTTAAGACTCTGCCACGCCCTCTAAAACGGCTCATTCTAACACGCCCCCACATATCTACCACACTGGAAATATTTGCATAATGCCGCCCAAATGTGCACGCAAAGAAAGAAGGCGTGGTTTCAGTAACTGCAGTTAGTGTTGAAGCAGCCATGTCAGGGAAACGGTGTGTTTCTAGGTGAAAGCAAAAGCACTTTATTTGGCCTTCCGAAAGTAGATGCATTTAGGAATCTTTAAGATTACTTACAACAGAACAGCAATGCATTTTATGGACGTTTCGTGAACGTCCATAAAATGAATGAGGAGTGAACCTAGGAGAGGAGGTCATTCTGACTTTGCTATGACAATCTGGCGCTTCTGAATCAGCTACTGTTTTGTTATTAGCTTAAGTAAGTGTGTGTGCGTGTGCGTGTGTGTGTGAGAGAGAGAGAGGTGGGGGGGTGGGGTAACATCACAGTGGAGTCAGCTGTCTTAACTGTGGCTTGTGTACTGCAAACACATACCAGCTTCATCACTGTGTTTGTCACGCGACTCTGTTCCCCTTTCGGGCTCTGTCTTTATATTTATTTTGAAAGATGAAGCTTGCGATTATGGTAAGGGGTGTTACATTTCCGACGAGTGCTTGCGGTGTTCGGCCAATCACAATGCACTGGGTCAGCTGGCCAATCAGAGCAGACTGCGCTTGTCGGAAGGAGGGACTTTGTAGAAAACGAAGCGTTTGAGAGAGGCGGGGCATAGAGGACCTACAATACTGTACAGTATTTGAAAAATAATGTGTTTTTTGAACATTAAAGCATGTCAACATATTCTGTTTCACCAAATACACAAAATAATGATCTTTAAAAAAGCATCATATGACCCCTTTAATATATTTTCAAATGTAATTTATTAATGTAATGCAAAGCTGAATTTTCAGCATCATTACTCCAGTCGTGAGTGTCACATGATCCTTCAGAAGTAATTTTAATATACTGATTTGCTGCTCTAGAAGCATTGCTTATTATTATCAGTGTTGAAAACAGTTGTGCTGATATATTTTTCTTTCAGAATTATTTGATGATCAAAGAGTTCAAAACAAAAGGATTGAAATAGAAATCTTTTGTAACATTCTAAATGTATTTTTGGTCACTTTTGATCAATTTAATGCATCTTTGCTAAATTAAAGTATTAATTTCTTTCTAAAAAATAAAAAAAAACATCTTACTGACGCCAAACTGTTGAACAAAAGTATATATTTGAGATCTTCTGAAACTATACAATAGCTTTGCATGACAAATTTTCAGTCATTGTTCACTTAAAGGTGGGGTAAGTGGTTTTTCAAAAACGCTTTAGAAAACTGATTCGGGTCGACTAGCAAAACAAACTTTTTTTGTAGCCAATCAGCAGTAAGGGGCGTCTCTACTCATGATGTGGAGGAGAGAGCGTTCAGTGCTCAGATTAGCGAGCCGAGCGACAGAAAGATAGAGATGGCGGATAAAAAACAAAAGAGGAAAACGTCTGTGGAACAAAAGAAGGCTTAAGGCAAGAAGTAGGATCCGTGTAAATATCGGATCAGCTTTCCAGTGCTGGAGAGAACTCAAGGAGTGGAAGGCCTGCGATCGGACGCCGAGGTTGCTTTGTTTCTTCTCGATAGGTGAGTAACACCGTGTCTGCGCCGCAACAACTAAAGTCTGTCTAGTACACTGATGCGACAAAGCGACCGTTGAAAATCATTTGAAATTTGTGTCAATGTGTCATAAAAAGAAAGCAGCAGCAGTTTCCTGTCAGGGATTTGTCGTGTCGTGCCGCGCCACATCCAGTGTAGACCATAGAGATGTATATATATCTATGGTGTAGACAGCATCACTGATTATAATGAGTTCCATAGTATTTTGTCGCGCCGCGCCACTCGCGTCCGGTGTAGACACGGTGTAACATTGGTTTTGCTTTGTTTCACAGAACTAATCGGTGCCTGGGTTGCGTACGCATGTGTGGGGTGGAGCTATCAAAATAGGGACGAGACCCTTTTGGGGTAGGGGTGTGTTTGTTTTGGTGATTTCAAATGTCAACATTGGCTACCAGAAATCGCTTACCCCACCTTTAAACACCACGTCAGTTTTCATTTCAATGGCATTTGATCCATGAACCAATGGTGTTTGATGTCATTGACATTAAACCTGGAGTTTCACTGGATTCACATTCTCATTCACACAAGCCAATCAAAAGACTGATCTACTGTGAGATCAGAGGCTTTTTAGATGTATGTCCAGAGCTCCAAACATCCCCTTCTCAAATTGTGAAAGTGTTAGTGTTTTTAAAGGGTTAGTGAAAAATGAAAATTAGTCCATATATTACTCACCCTCAAGTCATCCTAGGTGTATATGACTTTCTTCTTTCAGACGAATCCAGTCGGAGTTCTATAAAAATTGTCTTTGATCTTTCAAGCTGTTTCATGGCACTCAGTGGGTGTTGCATGCTTAAGTACAAAAGAAGTTAAATAAAAAGCACCCGTCCATAAAAAAAAGTGTCTCACACGGCTCCGGGGGGTGAACAAAGGCCTTCTGTAGCAAATCAATGCGTTTTTGTAAGAAAAATATCCATATTCAAAGTGTAATAATCACTTTAATGTAGCTTGCGCCAACAGTTGTACACAGAAGCAGCTCCGGGCTGATAACGTATGAGGTCAGCGTTGCGCATGCACCGGTGAGTCTCGTGAAAACCAACATTTGTTTACAGGAGCAAAGGAAGCAGAGTTTCCTTACTTTAGTCAAGGAAAACCAGTCTCCTCTTAGCTTATATCAAAATCCTCCAACATTCTACTTTACAAATCCTCGTTTTGTACTTCTAATTAGTGACGTTGTTTTGTTTTGATCGCTCCCCTGCGCTTCCATGTTCATCACTTCTGAGCGGTGCATGCGCAAAGCTGACCTCCATACGTCATCAGCCCGGAACTGCTTCCGTGTAGAACAGTGAGTGCAAGCTACATTAAAGTGATTATTACATTTTGAATATGGATATTTTTCTTACAAAAACGCATCGATTCGCTACAGAAGGCCTTTGTTCACCCCCCGGAGCCGTGTGAGACACTTTTTTTATTTAGCTTCTTTTGGACTGATGCATGCAACACCTGCTGAGTGCCATGAAACAGCTTGAAAGATCAAAGACAATTTTTTATATAACTCCGACTGGATTGGTCTGAAAGAAGAAAGTCATATACACCTAGGAAGACTCGAAGGGGAAAGTAATTTATGGGCTAATTTTCATTTTTGGGTGAACTAACCCTTTAAATGACCCAAACACAGTTTTGGTTCAGTGTGATGACTAGCTCATCTTGATTTATTCAAGCCGCCTTCAATCCTTATCAGGATACTCATTTGTGATCCAGTTGATGAGATTCATTTTGAAGAACTTGGTTTCAAAATAATGCACAGAACCATATATTTAATGGATATCCCTTGAGAGTTTAGAGATGTGTTTTATGACAGATTATGAGATTTATGATTATAGATGTGACTGTACTATTATTTTAAAGGTTATGATTATGGCTTTAATTATGAATTGAATTGCTGTTTCCATAGTGAGAAGGTAATGGGAAGCAGCTCTCTGCAGCCTGAGTTGAAGGAAGATCAGAGAGTGTTGACACTGGACAACGATTTCCTTAATCAGATAAAAGACAAATACTGTGCTTGCTTACAGGTAGCATAAAAGCACATTTGTCATCTGAGATAACACTAGTAGTGAGATCGTACTGACAGTATGATGTCAGATGATATCTGAGAGTTTCTGAATTCAATGTAATCTGTGCTCTTAACAGGCTGACATGAAAACATCACTCAACATAATTATTGAGTTGGAGAATGAGGAAATGTGGAGAGAAAAGAGAAAACCAGTGATTGATGAGGGAATATACCGCTCACACATTGACATGGACATCTGGACTGTAAGACTGCAGACTTTCATAATTAGCTCACCTTAACTCAGTTTTACATGGAAGTAAAATGAGCGTTAAAGCAAAGTCCTTTGATTTCCCATTTATACTGCCACAAACTCATGAGGGCATTTGTTTACCAATAGAGGGCAGTATTGGACATGTATTTTAACTAACTAATAGTGGTCCCAAAACTAATTAGGAAACTTATGCTGTCTTCACATGCTATTAGAAATGTCCTGCTTCACATTTATGAAGTTGTAATTATGAGTTCATGATCAAGCATGTTCAAGTGCTTTGTTGTCTATGTAAGATCAGTACATTACCAATGCATAATTTGTGTGCAGATGCCGCTTGGTTTCAATATTTTTTCAATCCAATTTGATGCCATTTAGACATTTGTAAGTGGTTTAAGTGCCCAAATCTTTTCGAGGACACTGTAATTAAAAAACAGCACAAGGGGACAAAACACATTTATGTTGTTTTCTTTCCCAGAATATTAAAGGGCATGTACAAGGATCCAGAAGAATCGATGTGAACCTTGAGCAGAAGGTTGTGCGTTCCTGTTTGGAGGAACTGAAGACCTTTCCAAAACGGTTTGTGAAAGATAACTACAGTAACATGCTAATTGGAAGTCAGTTTTGTACATTTACAGCTCTAAAAGCTTCTGTAGTCTATATTTTATGTACAGAGGACAACTATTCAAGTTTCTTTCACTTAACAGCTGTTATGTGCTAATTTTACAGTTATTATAGTAAAAAAGACTGGCATATCATTTCCCAGTTTCTTTTTGCCAATCTATACATATGACTCAAAACCACATCCTATGAAACACATTTCCATGTTTATTTCTCCTCAATAATATCTAATAAATTAAGTCATTGGTTTATTTTTAGTTTTATTGCATAGAATTTGGGCAGTATTTAATTATTTTTGTTTGTTTGTTTTATTTCTCTGTATGACTGGTTGTGGTTATTTGTAGGTTTGAATCAGCGTTTGTTAAGTGGGGCAGTCCTCTGTCTAACTCCTCTCTCTGGGCAGAGTATCACATCAGCTACATCAACAGCTTTAGTGCCCTGAAGTAAGTCATTTACACAACACACTGCCCAAACGTCATTTTCATTGAAAATTCTTTATTTCAAGTGTTTGGGAGGAGCAGAAATATTATATAGCTAGCCGCATTAGTCTAGTTCAATTATTTCACGAGCACCCATTCACAAAGATTTTGTGTTTACAAAGCCAGGAGGTCTTTAATAGACAGAGAAAAGCTATTTGTTACCATTCACATTTATATCAATGGAAGAATTTTCATTTGATCTTATCTAATTTTATCTCATAATCTCAGTTTAGGTACCAGCTGTTTTTGAGCCAGCCATTTTAAATGTCATGAATAAAAAACAAACAAACGTAACAATCAGTCACGTGATTTCTTGGAATTTGTGCTATATAGAGGCAGTCAGGCAGTTGGCAGGGGGAGTCCTTGATAGTGGGGAATTCCAGAATGATGGAAACCACTGGATGTGCCTCTCCAAAACTTAAACCAAAGACCTTGGGCTATTCTAACTAAACAAGGGAGTTCTAAGAGAGAGAGAGAGAGAGAGAATTTTTTTTTTAGATTTTAGATATGAATCCATTATTACATTTTTCTTAAATATTACAAAACATTTTAGTTTTAACAGTCAAACACAAAATAAAATTGAAACAAATATCTCCATATATTTTATAAGCAGATATTTTGTGTTTGACTGTTAAAACTAAAATAAGGTGTTGTTTTTTCTTAATAAATTGGGTAAATTAAAAATACAATGGTTAAATTTAAACCTTTTTTCTACTGCTCTTTGTTTAAGAAAGGTTATAAAAAAATTAAATAATTATCGATACCAAATTATATGAAACATTATATCGTGATACATTTTTTTAGCTATATCGCCCAGCCCTAGTTTCTCTTTTTTACAGCTGACACTACAGTACTATAATACTATATCATTTCAATTTTTTTTTCTCCAGAGAGCACATGGAGAGCTATCAAGACACCTGCCCGATTCAGCTAGGGCTGGTTCAAAACGAAATAGATGGACTGACCACCAGATTGAGTCAAGCTGTGATGGAGGACTTCAAAACAGATGTTAAGGTGTGAGCTTCTGAAATGCACACTTTTCTCATTGTTAAACAATGGCAGTAGTTTGAGAGTCACACCAGACTCTCCGTGTCATGCAGATTGTAACAGGCAAACAACCTTTATGACGTATTTGTTTTAATACAAATCAATACCATGTATGTGCAGGATTCTTGAAGTAAATAAATCACTGAAGTATAAAAATAAACAATAATGTCTGTGATTATGCAACTGGAAATTGATAATTAACTGAATGTATATGTTTGATAGTGGAGTGAGTTAATATTAAGTAATAAAGAGCTTCTGTTTGCAGCCTTTCCTCAGGAGACAAATGACAGGGAAATGGTTTTCATTTGATGAAGACTTTTCAAAGCTGATCAGCAGAACTGAGACTCTTTCTGATCAAAGCAAGTACATGACCCCAAAACATAAACAGGTGAGAGTGCCAACCAGTTTGCTTCATTAATATACACATACATTAATGTAACCATTCTACTACAACTTGAGAGACTGTTCCCTCCTGTTGGAATGACCTGCCAAACTCATTCCAAGCAGCTGAGTCCTTAATCATTTTCAAGAAACGGCTAAAAATACTTCTCTTTCATCTTTATTTGACCCTCTAACTCTAGCACTCTCTATTCTATTTCTATTCTAACTACTTGTTTTATTTAAAAAGAAAGAGCCTTTAACACTAGCATTCTCTATTCTTTCTACTTATTTTCTTTTTATTTATTATAAATAATGACCTTCTAACACAAGCATTATCTATTCTTTTTCTGTTCTATTGACTTATTTTTATTTAAAGGGGTCATGACGTTGCTAAAAAAGAACATGATGTTGTGTATTTGGTGTAATGCAATGTGTTTATGCGGTTTAAGGTTCAAAAAACACATTTTCCACATAATATACATTATTGTTGCTCCTCTATGCCCCGCCTTTCTGAAACGCGTAGATTTTTACAAAGCTCATCGTTCTGAAAAACGAAGTGTGCTCTGATTGGCCAGCTATCCAGTGCGTTGTGATTGGCCAAATACCTCAAGCGTGTGACGGAAATGTTACACCCCTACCATACTCTGATGCCGTGTCCCGGCACAACAGTGTACTAGTGTTAAATGCTGCTGTTTGTAATAGCATTGATAACGTTTCTGACAGATAATACCATGTTTTGTTTTGTTTTTGTTTTTTGAGTTTGCCTTACCGAATATCCTGTCCGCAATAACCTGTCCGTGGGCTTTTTTGATTACTGTCAGTTTAAGTGTGGCATGCAGTGTTGCCAGATTTTCCTATGAAAACAAATAAAAACTGAAAAAATAAATAAAGAATAAACCGAAATTAGTTCAAATCTTTTGTAAATAAGATAAAATAAAGATATTGCCAACCCTAAAATGCAACGTCCCACTTTATTAACTTACTAAAGCAGGGGACCTCAATAGGCGGGCCTGCGGGCCACATCCGGCCAGTGAGAGAAAAAAGTTTTGACCAGGCTAATTTCAAATAATGTGGCATGAAAATTCAAACGCAGCATCAGAAAGCTACATTAACTTACATCGTGTCTACACCAGACGCGAGCGGCGCGGCGTGGTGCGACGCAATAAAATACAATAGAACTCGTAATAATCAATGATGCTGTCTTGGATGTGGCGCGACACGACAAATCCCCGACAGTAAACTGCTGACTTCTATTTATAACGTACTGACACAACGTTCAAATAATCTACAATGATTCGTCGCGTAGTGTAGATACGATGTGACAGCAAAAACATGGCGAGTGTGTAGAAAAGAAAAGTGGAGTTTTGAGTGAGTGACTGATATCTTTGTTATATATATATATATATATATAGGTCAGTGGCCCTTGGTTTGGTATTGTTGGCAGAATTCGGCCCTCGGTGAAAACTAATTGAGGAACCCTGTTCTAAAGTGTCAAATTAAGTGGCAAGGCCAAGTCCAAGTCCAAAGACACTTATAATAGCTGGATCTGGCTCTCAGCTCTCTCGAGCCTCGTTCACTCCGCCAGCATCTTGCAGCGATCAGTTTTGTACCACACACGCTAAACATTCTTGCAAATTGTCTGTATAAACTTAATTATACATGCAGATACTCATAAGAGAAGTTTTAAACAGCAAATTAGTCATTCAGAGAACAAATCTTATTTTTAAAAATGAAAAATGTACCGAGGTCCGGACCTCGGTGACCTCATAGCGTCTGTGCTAATACGAATACGACATAGCGAATACATTTAGTAGCACGCGTGCGATACAGTTTTGCAATGAGTGTGAGCCTGTTTACAAATGTGTCAAACAAAAAGAACATTTAATGACATGTTTTATTCCAAATCACTTAATAACATAAGTCGAGTGTTTGAAATAACTACCCTCTGTGGTCTGACATGGTTTCATATCACAGGAGGCAATCATGCTATTTATAGTATTCTATACAGTTGATAGAAGGCTAAATCGATTATCACTGCATTATAAATATACTTTATTTTTTTATAAAAATACCTGAGATGGCTTGAAAGGTCAGTGAAATGTGAATTGAGGTCACAATCGTATGTTTATTGCATTGATGTTTCATCAGGTATTTATTTACAAATCGCAACCTAAACCCTGAAATTAAAGGTGCAATAGGTAATTGTCTACAGAAACACGCTATGCAGACAGAGCGTGAATGGCAGTCAGACAAACATCAACAAGCCGATCTTCCTTCCTGTTATTGTAATACTTTTACTAACTGTACTATAAAGTTTTCTCACCGGTGAATGACACATAATGTAGCCCAACGCGGTTCCCAATTCCAGTCCTCGCGCCTCCCCGCTCTGCATATTTTGCATGTCTCACTTAGTTAACACACCCAATTCAGATAACCAGCTTGTTAGAAGTGAGCTACGTGCATGAACTGTGTTCCGATTTACATGCTCCCTACAAAGTGTTCTTTGCTCCCTACTCCCTGAGCAGGGGAAATCCGTTTGTTTACCTCACTTCGGAACATTCCTTCACGGATTTGCCACTGAACCTCGAGAAATGGAATTGGGAACCGCTGTAGCCTATTGTAGTAATGTTGTCTGTGGTCTGTGAGCGTATGTGCGTTCAGGGGGCGTGGCTTTGGACAGCGATTGCAGGGAGGGTGGGGCATTCACTTTCAGTGCTATCAGGCTAAAGTTAGCATTTTCCGAGATCTCATACTGCACCTTTAATCTATTCAACCTTCAACCATCCATCATTAAAAGGAAAATTTAAAGTGTAAACACGCTGGCAAATTACTGCAACATACCATGAATAACCCCAAAAGCTTGATTATTTCCGCAGCAATGTTACAGACGTGTTTAATAGTAATATGTCTGGAGTAACATACGTTGCCTTTCTCAAAAATGTTCATTAACATTAACATCGAGTGATACTATTTCAAATATCACTGTTCCAAAACCTTTGCCATGGGTCTACAGAAGTTCATGTGAATCAGTTCACTTTAATTCTGAGGTCAGGAACTTTCCATCATATGTTTAGTCAAGTGATATCTACTTCCTCTTTTCTATCATTAATGATTTTCACTAGTTAAGCATAAATTCCTTCTTAGTATGATAGGCTCAGGGCTGGCAGACTGAATGTTGTTTATCAGATGCTTTTGATGATAAAGCATCATGTTGCTTGTGATTTGTTGTCCACACCCATCTGTAGTAGATTGAAATCTAGCAGGGCATGATAATATTTTAGTTTATCATCTTTTCAACTGCTTACCCACAGTCTCATAAACATTAGATGAATAAAATCTCTGCACTCCTAAAAATAAACAGACCCAAGAGACAAGAAATAGACTGATGTCACATTGGGGAACCCATAAACAACTTAAAGGGAAAAAAAGACACTATAATATTCTGATCTGAACAACCAAAAATAATATAAGCAACTTTTTAACTGCATAGAGCCATAAAGTGACCCCAAGAACATAACACAGCATACAATAATATGTGATATATCATATACTGTTGTGTGTGCACGTGGATGGGTTAAATGCAGAGCACAAATTCCAAGTATGGGACAGCATACTTGGCCACATGTTCACTTTTCACTTTCATTCTGCTATCCTGAAACTACAAAAAACATCAAGCAGTCGGTGTGTGGCTGGTTAGCATGGTTCCCCCTGCTGGCAGATGTGGTAACTACACACTCTGATTCTACAAAACATCCTGCCTTTCAAAAGCAACCTTGTATTCTAATTAAAAAAAATTCAAGAAATACATGTGTTGTAATATTTCAATGTATTATAGTAGATTTTTTTTTACTAATTTTAAGGCTTTGCTGTTCCCATCTTTTGCCTTGATTTCACAGCTCAGGATAGTCCAGTGAAGGGATTTTCCTGTGGCTTAGTCACATGGCATTTAGGTGACTGGCTCATCTATGCCTAATTCAACAAAAGCACAGAGGGAATCTTTGGCAGGGCATTTGACCTCCAATATCTTGAATGCACTCTAATCTCTTCTCTGCTGGTTAAGTCGTAACTTCTAGTGGTTCAAATGGTGCCTGGTCAAGTTGCTTCCTCTTTTAATATGCAGCAGGGCTCTTGTCTTTATCCATTTACAGTCTACACCAGATTACTGCCATGGTACCTGTCAAAAGTAAAGACAATCTGACCAGGGTCAAATTCATGTCACTGAAGGACAGGTGCATGTGAGCTCTTATCAGATGTTTTTATCCAAAGTGATTTATGTGAGGGATCATTCAGTGAATTTTATTAAATGATGGGTAATTTTTTAAAAGGTAAATTACAGTAATGAGAAATATCAGTCATGACGTCTGTAAAAACCATAAATGTGTCCACATTGTGGGTATTTTCCCATATTGTGTAAGAATCAAGCATACATTTGAGAAAAAGACTATTTTGCGGTTAAATTATGAACTACCATTCTTTATTTCCTTATTTCACTTTCTCAAACATTTCCTTAAATGTATTATAATTTAAATATACAACACTATATATATATATATATATATATATGTAGATTTGTGTTCTGAGAACATATATGTCAGATTGGAGGAAGTTGTCACATGCATTTGATATGTAAAACAATGTTTTGATGATATGTTTTACATATTAGAGCTTTTTCTTGAATGGTTTTGTGTTCCAATTTTTTTTCTCTCTCATTTTTTACTGATATTTACTTTATATTTTTAATTTAAATTGTGTTGAAGGTAATGGCAGGTTCCCATTATGACAACATGTAGCAAGTCTCCCCGCGGCCTGCATAAAAGAAAGTAGACAATAAAAAAAACGAATGAAAGTGAAAGTATTTTACCTGACTCAGGTGAAATAAGCAGGATGCGTGGTAATTATTATATTTATTATTATAATTCAGTACATAATAATGAAGACATTTGATTAGAAAATCCTAAATTAGACCATTAGTGGATCATGATATTCATTTCAGCAGTTACAGGTTAGATGATTTTAAGGACTTTCATGTTTAATTAAGCCGATTTGTTTTTCAATTGTAAAATATGTGTATGATTTATTTTAACATAAAATTAACAAACATCTTGTATAGAGGAAAGTTGCATTATCATTATTAACTTTCTAAACATTTGTAGAAAGAACTTCTGCTTTCAAAATTACTGG